TTGGACTGCCGGTGTATTTTTGGGAGGCTGCTTTCACAGTGTCTTTTGGAGGAGAAAGCTCAGGCGTCTCACCCGTCCCGCTGAGTGCCTGCAGTAGTGAGGGGCAGATTTCCCTGGAACTTGGTTCTTGGGGTGTATCTGCCTGCAGAGAAAGGGGAGATTTCGACGAGGAGCTGCCAAGGCTGTGAGCCTGAGGTCCCTTCTCTCCTGTGGGGACGTTCTGCCTGTCCCTTCACCGCCCTGGGGCTGTCCCCAGCTCCTGCACCCGGCTGTCAAGCACCCTGCAGAGGAAGAGGGACCCGCACAGAACACGCAGCGGTTTTGAGAAAAATTCAGATTATCCGAGAGCGTGGTGGCGAGGAGCAGTGAGCCCTGGCTCGCGTTTTATCGAGCTGCTTCCGCTCATCTTCTGAGCACTGGAAATGAGCATTTCCCAGGGACGCTGTGGTGATGGGTGACAGCCACTCCGGCGGGGAGGATTCTGTATCTACACAAGAAGCTTTGGTTGATGGCTTGGTCAACGAAACATGACCAACAAGGGTACCTGTTGGTGGCTTGTGCCGTTGGCAGTCGAGTGATAAGGGAACGTCTGACCCAAAGGAGACGAGATCTCACGGGCAACACGCGGGGCTGAAAATTCAAACCCGGCTTCCATGTAACTTGGTGTTTCTTGCTTCCCTCACTTCCAGCCGGGCAGCTGGAGCCGTCCCCCTCCCGTCCTGCTGGGAGAGGTGTTGGCGGCACGCGGGCTGCGGCTGTGCGGGTGCCTGCAGAGACCCCGGGGCCGGGGGGGTTCGGCGCAGGCATCCCCTGGGTGCTGGGCTGCTGCGGAGCTGCGCTGGGTTACACAGCCGGGTGTCCGAAAGCTGCTGGGAACCCGTCGGCATTTTAACCATAGCTCAAAGCTCAACTACAAGAAAAACCTGGTCTTTTAAAATACTAAGCTCCCCGTTACAAAATGCAAGGAAAGGACTGTTCTGAACCGGGGGAAAGGTCTCCTGCTCTAGAGAGGTAAGATTCTCTCGGTATCCAGAAGGGCATGACATTTCCCCCTTGTTTGATTATATTAGGTATATTAAATATGGCCTCGATGTTTAAGGTTACTTAAGCTGCAAGAGTTCAAAAGATTTTTGGATGAGATTTTTTCAGTTTATTTTCTTAAGCCTCTGCAAGAAGTGTAAACAGTCATTCTTTTAAAGAACAAATAGTGAGAGGTCAAAGACTCCGTGTGTATATATGGTTCTGTATTTCATTACAAAGGAAAGTTCACAGGAGAAGAAATGTAGCTGTGGTGGTTAGAAAGGCAGATAGTTAAGAACAAGCGTTTGTATATAAGTAAAAAAGCTTTAATCCAAATAGCAGCGTATGGAATTGTGAAACATTGACTATTCAGATGATAATGAAGTATAAGGAATACTAGTTTTCAGCCATAGGTTTTCACTGTTAGATGGTAGACTTGATTAAATATTGTCAAAGAGACCAGAGGAATGAGCTGCTTGTTGTTGTTAATGAGGGAAGATATTCTAATCTTTTAATTTAAGACAGGCAGGCTTATGTTTAAGTTTGAAAATCAAAGAAGTAAATGAGCTTAGTCATTCTTTATGTTGATTCCTGATTATTCTGAGTACTAAAAATTGAATTTAGGAAAAGGGCAATGGATTTTCTGTTTCTACTATTTTTTTTGTAAGATATTATCATGGGTATCTCCCATTCTTTGCAGCTAACGTATTGCAGTTCTCTTGCCTTTCACAATATGTGGTATTTTTTGTCATGATGTCAAATTCTAATGTCCAGTGTCAGCAGAGAAATGTTAGCTTTTCTTTAAAAATGAATAAATATAGTATCACTTAGTCTACACTTTCAGATTGAGAGAACTTGGAAGCGCTAAGTCACACACATGAGGAAATGAGTCTTTAAGACCCCCCTCAGCATTTGTAGTGGCTCTGTTTTCCTTTGGGTGGTGAGGCTTGGCTGCTGAGCTCGAGTTAAATCGGCCGTGCGGTTGTCTGGTGCCCGGAGGATGGCAGGGAAGCCCTGCACCTTCTCACCCTTCTCAAGACAGACGCTTTGCGGCAGTCAGTTCCAGATGTTGCAGTTCCAGAAACCACTTTTTTTTTCATGGCACGCCTCATACTTTTCAATTTTACACAGCATTGGCTCATTTTTCGTAGATGTCCTAGCTGGAAGTTTAAGATGGTTTTCTGTACATGTGGGTTCTTGCTCTTGCTATCAACTTTGTGACTGCCATAATAAGCTAGTAAAATTCAACCTTTTATTTTTCAGAAAAACACACATTTCAATGAGATGTCAAAACTGGTCCACATTGGGGAAAAAAAAAAAAAAAAAAAAAGATGGAAAATACGTCATGCCAGTTTTCTCAGAAGTTCTTTCCAAGTTTCTGAAGTGCACAGCAATTGGCACCCACATGAGCTAATATTACCACCTGTAACTTCTTTCTCATTATGCCAAAGGTGGGAATGAAAGCCCAGACTAGTCTCAAAGCCCCTCAGATGAAAGGACCTCATCCATTAGCTTGAAGGTCGGACCCTCGGGCCGAGGGGGCTGGTGGGCTGCGCTGCTCTGAGCCCGGCGAAGCCGCTTCGTGCTGCTTTCCCGTCACTTTGTGCTCCGTTAAGCGTCAAGTGCTGTTTTAACAGGGACAGCCTCGTGCTATTTTTTGTCTTCCTGGTAAAACACAGTCCAGATCTCAGCGGAGACATTGAAGAGGTGCTGTTATTACAAATAATGCATCGTTATCATATCGTCCATTTTGTTAATCTCGCTTCTGATTGAAAAGTCAGTGCAGGAGTTTAAGCTGTGGAGCATTGCTAGTGTTTCTGAGCGTGCCAATGAGAAGAGAGGCACTGCGAGGTCTGCGTGACAGTAAGTGTGAATGTGATTTGCCCTTTCATTTCACAAGTTACTTTCCTTTTAAGGGTGTAGAACTGGTTAAAATTTTCCACAGAGAGATATTTTTTCCTTAAAATACTGTGGTTTTGTTTGATATGCAGGAAACTGTTATTACTGGTTATAAAGAAACCCTAAAGTTGAGGTTTGGCTTAGAAAGTATTGAAACTTCTGCAATTTGAAGAGTCATTTTATTTCTGTGGTATCAAAAACACAAATCAAAACAAAGTGAGTATTTTCGTTTGGATGCTGAAACTACTGATTCACAACAAAAATGATGACTCTCAATCTCTTTGAAACTTCTCACAGGAAAAGCCAAAACCTTGGAGTTCTCCACCGCTGATGCGTAGGAGAACCGCGTTGCTTTCCCGCACTGCTCTGGTGTCGGCTGGTTAAAGCTCGCTCAAATCCATAGTGACCATATCTGGGATGTGTGTAATTTGAAGACATGAACTTCGGTGGCATGATGCGTTTTGCAGAAAGCTCTGCCTGGAGTTTGGGTCTGCATGCTGTTGGAGACCTGGGAAACCTGTGCAGGACCATGTGTTCGACCCTCAGTCCAGCTCCAGAGGCTTCAGATCAAAAGGCATTTCTGGCTTATATTTTCATTTTGCCTTGAGTGTGGTTGGCTTTCTTTTCGGAAGTTGAGAAGGGACTGAAGCAGAGTATTTTGTTTCCCAAGGGCGTGTGTCGAAGCGGCGCTGCACTGGTCCCTGGTGAGCCTGGAGCAGGGTACCCAGCGCCTGGGGTGAGCAGAGCAAGGCTGCCGCGCCGTCTCCGGGTTAGTCCAGCACGGCCTCCTGCAGTTCAGACTGCATTTCTGGGTTCCTCACAGCATGTCGTGCTGGCCAGGCCACAACTCAGACACCTGGAGCTGATGGTAACTGTCCTGCCTATGCAGCTTCCGACTTTTTGTGTTTGGTTGGACTGTTTTTTCAGAGGAAAATGTCCTGGCTTTGCCTAGCAGTAGTTTTCCCGGAGGAAATGGGCCAAGATAGAGAAGACTGACCTGTACTTGTGCTGACGTGTACAACACGGTGGTGCAAAGGGGCAGAGGAAATGATTTGAAGTCGTCCGTGGTCTGACGTATTCAGCAGATAGGCGGTGGTGACTCGGGGCTTTAAAGGTGCGGTAAAATGCCCAGACCAGCAAGAATCCGTGTCACCCCGGTTATCATGGAAAACTGAAGGGAGACCAAATCAGTGCTCGGATGGATTCTCCGTGATGGAGGTCTCTGGTAGTACCGTGCCCACCGCAGGATTTCCTTTGTTGTCTTTTTGTGTTTGCTTGGGGGTTGAAGTGTAGGGGAAGACATTACAGGTGACTTATTTGTGGATTAGAAAGGGAAGAGCTTTGTCTTGCTGTTGTCACTTAAAGCTCTTACAGCAGATAAATGTGGCAGGATGGAGGAGCAGTGTCAGAGCCGCAGTGGAAGAAGGATAAACGCAAGCTTGCTTTCTCCTGGTCCCCTGCGAGAGGCTTCGGGAAGGGCAGTGAGGAAGAATGGCTGAGCGGTGTTGGTGTTCCGAGGCACTGATGATTCTCAGGGCTGGAGATTCTCTTTTCATTCTGTTTTGTCCAAGAAAAGACTTTACTGGCAGAGATTGGTTGATGTGGACTTCTTTTACAAGTTTCCTTGTTTTAAGGGAACATTGTCTGGTTAAAGGCTAGAAGACTCGGTTGTTGCCTTGACTGCAAGCCGCTTCCAGCACCAGATGGACTCTGCTCTCTGTAGACAGGGCAGGCGTTCCACCAAACTGCGGACCTACGAGCTGCAGGCATGTTTCCAAACAGAAGTCTGGTTTGGCAACGCTTCTGTCAGTCGCTATTTCAGCCTGTTTCCAGGTATGCCGTGGTCCAGGTGTCCTCTGACAAATCCATGACCGCTGGCGTTCTGGCAGCAGCGCTGCTTGCTCCGCCGCTTCGTCTGGCCGTGCTCCTGCAGGGGCCCGGGAAGAAGGGTCTGTGCTTTCCCTCCCCAGGCACCTGCTCTTGCAGTAGACGCCGACCGCCAGGAACAAGCTGGCCTTTGGGCAATTGTCAATCAGTTTCTCCATTCCAACTCGCTTTTCCTTTCCCTTTTTTTCGTACAGGTTGATAAAGTGTGTGGACAGCCCAAACGACAAGAAGGGAACCTGTCGTCAGCCAGCGTAGTGCCAGCGAAGGAGGTGACCGAAGCCCAGAGATTCGTGGTGGCTCACGCTACTCTGAACAGTAAAAGAAGGTAACTGAAAGCACCAGCTGCTTTGAAATAAACTCTTTGCCTCACCCTTTCTGTTAATGGTTCCGTGCCCCATAGCGTTTAAGCCAGTCACAGTTCTGTCCCCCTGTCTGTGCTCTCCGGCGCAGGTAGTGACACCGATGTGCTCGTGGCATTGCATTGCGGGTCTCCAAGAAAAGCCTTCTACGGGCCAGACTTGATGTCGTTTACTTAGCACCAAAGTGTTTGTTGTTTCCAGAAACTTCCAGTGAAAATTATGAAAGCTTTTCCTCGACAAAGTCTGAGGAATTTCCACAGTGGAGTCTGAATTACTTAAAATACACTTTGCCCGGGTCTTTAAGGACTTGGGCTTATCCAGGGGCAGAGGTGGGAAGGAGCAAGGGGCGCAAAGGGAAGACTCGGTGCTCTGATGCCAGCTCAGTCCCTCCATTCCCAGGAGGAGCAGTAGGAGCCCCTGCAGCCTCCTCGATTTCCGACGTAACCGAGCAAGAGCAGAAGCATTTACGCTTAGGCTGGTTGTGTCCTCCTTGGCTGCTGTTCTCCAGCTGCGACACCAGGCAGCGGAATTACGGCCCCTGGCAGGAGTGTCCCTGCTCCCTGGGCTCCTGGTCTTCCCTTCGCTTTCCCTCACGTAGCTGCTGGAGTGGCTTTCTGTAAATTGTAAGAGGAGAGGAAAGGATGTCTTTGCAGTCCCACTCGTGAGTAGATGTCAGAGCTAACTGACCATAAAATCACAGTGGTGTATTTCTGGCTAGCGTGGTGTTCCCTGTAACACCGGGATTAAGCTGGAACAGCCTCAGCGAAGCGAGCCGGGCTCACGCCTGGATCTGAGAGCGGTGTCTGATCTTGCCCGGGGGTCCGTCTGTATCTGCGTATTGGATAGCTGGGTGACAGGCAGCGATGGTGGAATCTCCATAGCCTGGCTCCTCAGTTTTGAGTTGTAAAGATGAGATGGATTTTTACCCATTTCGATGTTAATTCTTATCTAAGCTTGCATGAATGAAACAAGTGCAGCTTTAAAAGATAAACGCAATAGCAGCAAGCTAAGTTTTTTCAGTGGTAGCAATATTTTTATCCCTTTGTAGTTTAAAACCAAAACACAACAGTTTGTGCTAATGCTTGGAGCTAATCATTTTTTACCATGCAAATGAGAGAGAAGAGCATTAAGGAAATTAATAAATTCAGCAGTAATAACCCAAAGAACAGTTGTAGTACAACTAATGAAATATGCTTTTAAAAACAGAGCCGTGGGCCATCTTCTGTATAACTCATTGACTTCACTGGGACTTACATGCTGGCAACCAAAAAGGCAGAATTACCAACCTGTTGGCAGGTTAGCTCTGCTCAAACAGATGCAGTTTGCTGTGTTTAATGGCACGACAGCGGTTCTTCCTCACCTGAGGATCTGCTCCCTCCCCTTCCCAGCCACCTAGAATTATTTGGATATTGACATTTTAAAATGTGAGACCTGTAAACAGAAAAGAAAATGTACTAAAACTAATCTACTGTGATTTAGACAGTTTCCCAAAACTACACTGAAAAATTAGTTTATCAAACAAATCTAAACTAAGGCCATCCTTACATAATGAGCATAAAACATCGCTGAAATACAGCGTTGATGGGTATTGTGGAGAGCCTGTGCACCAAAAATGAATGGGAAAGCCATGCTGCAATTAGCAAGAAGTGGAGAATATTTTTTAAGTTTTCCACAAATTCCTACAAAGCACACGGCACGGAGCTCGCACTGCGCTGCTCGGAAACGACTGTGCAGCAGTAAGGCGAGTGACGTACGCGGTGATTGGCAGCACCCCGGTGGCCTTCAGCATCGGTCAATTAATCACATAGGATATCAATAAAAAGCAATTTTAGCTAATAAAATTTTATAATGGATGGGTGAAACGATTCCTGCAGCGGGCTGTGTAAAATGCACTGAGAGTGACAGATAGCTGCTGCAGGGGATCTGGGTTAGGAGGGTCATTAGGGGAATCTCTGCGGGCACCCTTCCTTCTGGCCGTGGAAGAACTGAAGAGCAGTACTGGCAGCTGTCTGTCAGCGTGGGGACGAGCTCGCCCCGGGAATCGGCGCGACCGAGTCTGGTGGTCTGCGTAGCAGGCGTCCCTCCAGATGACCCTTACCTCAGGGGCAGTGTGGAACACGACTCCTGCCTTGTAGAATAAGGAAAGAAAAAGGAAAGGAGCGAGCCAGTGCTCCTCAAGTAAGCAGAAACGCAATGGCTCGTTCCCTTAATGTGTCTGAATATTCCCAAGCTCAGAGAGAAGGCCCAGTCTGGTTAGCATGTCAATAGACTCTGTTCAGTGGTGCCCAGCGACAGGACAAGGGGCGGGTGACCCACAGAGGTCCCTGCCAACCCCTGCCATGCTGGGATTCTGTAGGGAAGCCACAGTGAAGCAGCCTCTCCTCTTTTCTGTAGCACCTTCTTAGAGATGCCCTTCAACACCTGACTCCCAGCAGCTGGGACCTGCATACGTACGTCTGTTCTAGAGGTGTGGCATCTTTTACAGGCCAGTTAGAGGCCCAAGCTCCTTTTCCAGAGCGTTTGAGAACCTCTGGTTTGAGCTGCTGGGCAGAGCGGCTGCCGCTCGTGCGGTGGAGCAGTGGGGCTGCTCAGACGGCGTCTCTCTGCCTGCCTGGGCTGCCTTCGGGGCCTGTGGGTTTTGAGCCTGGCTCTTCTGCATGGTTCCCGTGTTCACAGAGCTACTGGGTCCTCTTTTGTGGTAGCTGCACCCTTCTCTGCTCCTCTTACTCTCAAGGGTTCCCGGGAGATTTCCCATCTTTCTCTGTTTTCCCCTGCATTCCATTCCTGCATAATTTTTGTTGTGCAGTGCAAACTGTCAGGGACAATAGTGGAAGAAGCTGAAATGTGAATAAATCTTCTGTGATCGTGTAGGAAACCTATTCCTCTCATCAAGCTGAAAAGTATAGATTTGATTACTAATTTTTTTTTTGAGTTGCGCAATCGGATTCAGGGATTAACTGAGACTGGCAGGATTGCCGCTGTAGTTGTTTTTTAATGTGGAGGTTACTGTAACATTGAGTAGAGATGACAAGAAAATGGAAGGCGTGCGATGGCGCAGGGACTGCGCGCGGCGTGGACGGGGTCGCAGGCAGTAAGCTGGAACGCTGCGGCTGAGGTCAGCACTAAGTCCTGTCCGGGTCCGGGTCCAGGCTCCCGGCAGAGCGGAGTGCCTGCCCCTTGGCACGTCTGCTGCAGGTGGTGTTTCAAACCACGAAACACGGACTGGTTACGGATCTCTGTATAAAAATCTGTTATGTTTAACACAGAGCTATAACGTGATGTTAAGTCCCTAAGTGGAGTAGGCTTTGAAATGATATTTTGTTGGATTGTTATACTGTGAACTTACAGATCTTTTATACCTCTTAAAATAAACAATTTCAAGTTTCTTTGGGAAGGTTTGAAGTCTGTGGCGTCTATTTTAAATAAAATTATCAACTGGGTCAGGCATCACATGATTTTATTAAAATTTGAGTGTTAAAATGCTAGTGCAAAACACATTATTAATGCCAGATACAAATCAACTTTCTGCAGAAATGAGTCAAACGTTTTGGACTCGATGGCCACGGCAGAAGTTTCAGCGTGTCCACATTTTCCCTGTTACAAATTCTCCTTCCCTTTTTGGCCTGGCTGGTTGGACGCAGCGCTTTGGTGATG